TTGGAACGATTTTGGCAATTTTCAAAAAATATAATCCGTTAAAAATTCTGTTAAAATTTTAATTAAAAAATATGTAGCGGTATATTAGGATCTATGCGATAACGTGAACCTGCATAGGCAACTTTTGTCATAAACCATTACAATATTCAAATGCGAAACTTGAATAAAAAGGTTCGGTGAATAAAGTCGCTAAAATCATCAAAATACCGAAAAAAGGGAGGTGCCATTATATGGGGCTATATCAAAACGTAGACCTACATCACCCATTTTCAATACCAGACATAATACACATTTGTGTAAAGTTTTTAAACCTACTTCGTTCGGAAGCTAGAGTGATTTCCACAGATAGACGGAACGACGGACGGACATCGCTAAATCGACATAGAATTTTATGCTGATCAAGAATATATGTACTTTGTCTAATATGTATATTCGAGGTGTTACAAACGGAATGACAAACTTAATATACCCTTTATACTATGGTGGAGGGTATAAAAAATATTGTTATGAAATACAAAATGAATGTCCGATGATGCTTAGAAGGCCCTTGAAGAATATACTCAAAAATTCACGTTTATTGACCAAAAGGTCCTTGGAAAATATTCTTAAAAAATACGTTTATTGGTCAGAAGGTCCTCGGAAATTATTCTCAAAAAATTACGTTTATTTCTCAGAAGGTCCTTGAAAAAAATTCTCCAAAAACCCACGTTTATTTGTCAGAAAAAAAAATCCACGCTTAGTGAATGGAACGTTCTTGAAAAATTATTCTTTAAAAAATCGCGTTATTGCCCATAAGGTCCTTAAAAAATTTTCCTTAAAAAATCCTCGTTTTTTTTGATCTATTGGTCCTTCAAAAGAATATACATTAAGAATTAAATTCGAAGCCAATAATTACAAATTCAAGATTATTTTTCAGTTGGGCCTTGTAAAAATGTACTTCAAAACATTCACCATTATTGGTCTACTGGTTCTAGGAAAATAACAATTTTGAAAATTAGATAATGAAAAATAATTATCATATTAAAATCATTTATATTAACGATATTGAATGCGAACGCTGTCCGCATTTATTAGAATGCTCTTTTTTACAACTCAAATAAAAATTATCATTTTTTGCTTTTTTGTCCAGATGCCTCAGTCCTTTAGGCAGATTTGCAAATAGCATTTCTTTGCAAATGAAAGTAAAATTTAATATTCGTAATAATATCAATTTGATATTCAAATCACTTCTAAAGCAATTTATTTATGCCTCGTCCAGCATTGCTTTATCGCTATGAAACCAGCTTTATCTACGAAATGTAAAAATGGCTTTGATGATGGTGGCGGTGTAATTTCGTTCGTTTTTTACATTTTCTTTGAATCGGCGTTTGTACGTGTTTAGCTGGAAGTGGTATTATAGTCTGCATAATATTTTGAAATACGCAAAAAAATGAAATCTTTTCATATTCTCATTATTTGCATATTATGGCTAATATCGAAATCTTTTTAATGCATCAATAAAGGTGGCCGCAGGCTCAAATAATATTATGTTGTATTTTTTGAAGCGATAATTTTCTGGGAATTAACATAATGTACTTAGTTCTTAGTATTCTTTCTTAATATCCAGAAAAGCTGGATAAACTGGGATATAAGAGTGGATTTTTTAAGATTTTTTTTTTTAAACCTTTTAGACAATAAGCTAGGACTTTTAAATGTTAACATTTAAAGGAACTTTTGACTAATAAGCGTGGATTTTTGAAGAATATTTTTTCAAGACCCATAAACGTGGATTTAAAAAAAATTCCCAGGGTTAATAAACGTGAATACTTGAAAAATGTTTTTATAAGAACTAACAGACCAACAAGCAATGATTTTTAAAGAATATTTTTTCAAGGACCTTTAGAGCTACAAGCGTGGATTTTTAAAGAATATTTTTTCAAGGACCTTTAGAGCTACAAGCGAGGTTTTTTAAAGAATATTTTTTCAAGGACTTTTAGAGCTACAAGCGTGGATTTTTAAAGAATATTTTTTCAAGGATCTTTAGAGCTACAAACGTGGATTTTTAAAGAATATTTTTTCAAGGAACTTTAGAGCTACAAGCGTGGATTTTTGAAGAATATTTTTTAAAGGGCCTTTAAAGCTACAAGCGTGGATTTTTAAAGAATTTTTTTTCAAGGACATTTAGAGTTACAAGCGCGGATTTTTAAAGATTTTTTTTCAAGGACATTTAGAGTTACAAGCGCGGATTTTTAAAGAATATTTTTTCAAGGACCTTTAGAGTGGATTTTTAAGGAATATTTTTTCAAAGACCTTTAGGGTTACAAGCGCGGATTTTTAAAAAATATTTTTTCAAGGACCTCCCGAATATTAAGCATTGATTTTTAAAGGATTGAAAAAAAAAAAAATATTGAAGGACCATCAGAGCCATAAGCGTGGATTTTTAAAGAATATTTTTTCAACGACCTTCTGACCATTAAGCGTGGATTTTTAAAGAATATTTTTTCAAGGACCTTTTGAACATTAAGCGTGGATTTTTAAAGAATATTTTTTCAACGACCTTCTGAACATTAAGCGTGGATTTTTAAAGAATATTTTTTCAAGGACGTTCTGACCATAAAGCGTGGATTTTTAAAGAATATTTTATCAACGACCTTCTGAACATTAAGCGTGGATTTTTAAAGAATATTTTTTCAACGACCTTCTGACCATAAAGCGTGGATTTTTAAAGAATGTTTTTTCTACGACCTTCTAAACATTACGCGTGGATTTTTAAAGAATATTTTTTCAACGACCTTCTGAACATTAAGCGTGGATTTTTAAAGAATATTTTTTCAACGACCTTCTGAACATTAAGCGTGGATTTTTAAAGAATATTTTTTCCAAGGACCTTCTGATCACTAAGCGGTGATTTTTAAAAATTTTTTTCAATGACCTTCTGACAATCAAGCTTGGATTTTTAAAGAATATTTTTTTCAAGGACTATCTGGCCATGAGCGTGAAGTTTTAAAGAATCTTTTTTTCAAGGACTATCTGGCCATGAGCGTGGAGTTTTAAAGAATATTTTTTCAAGGACCTCCCGAATATTAAGCGGTTATTTTTAAAGTTTTTTTAAGAATCTTCTGACTATTAAGCATGGATTTTTAAAGAATATTTTTCAATGACTATCTGGCCATAAGCGTGGAATTTTAAGAGATAATTTTTCAAGGACCTTACGAATATTAAGCGTTGATTTTTAAAGATAATTTTTCAAAGAATTACTAACCACTAAGCGTGGATTTCTAAAAAAATTTATTGAAGGACCTTCTGATCATTAAGCATGGATTTTTAAAAAATATTTTTTTAAAGGATTGTTTTTCAAGGAACTTTGGTCAATAAACGTGGAATTTTAAAAATAGGTCTTCAACGTGGATTTAAAAAAATAGGTCTTCAACGTGGATTTTTAAAAATAGGTTTTCAAGAACCTTTGGTCAATAAACGTGGATTTTTAAACAATATAGGTTTTCAAGAACCTTTGGTCAATAAACGTGGATTAAAAAAAAATAGGTTTTCAACGTGGACTTTTAAAAAATATAGGTTTTCAAGAACCTTTGGTCAATAAACGTGGATTTTTTTAAAAAAATAGGTTTTCAACGTGGACTTTTAAAAAATATAGGTTTTCAAGAACCTTTGGTCAATAAACGTGGATGTTTTAAAAAAAAAATAGGTTTTCAACGTGGACTTTTAAAAAATAGGTTTTCAACGTGGACTTTTAAAAAATATAGGTTTTCAAGAATCTTTGGTCAATAAACGTGGATTTTTTAAAAAAATAGGTTTTCAACGTGGACTTTTAAAAAATATAGGTTTTCAAGAACCTTTGGTCAATAAACGTGGATTTTTTAAAAAAATAGGTTTTCAACGTGGACTTTTAAAAAATATAGGTTTTCAAGAACCTTTGGTCAATAAACGTGGATTTAAAAAAAAAATAGGTTTTCAACGTGGACTTTTAAAAAATAGGTTTTCAACGTGGACTTTTAAAAAATAGGTCTTCAACGTCGATTTTTATAAAAAATAGGTTTTCATGAACATTTGGTAAATAAACGTGGATTTTTAAAAAATAGGTCTTCAACGTGGATTTTTAAAAAATAGGCCTTCAATGTGGATTTTTGAAAAATAGGTCTTCAACGTGGATTTTTAAAAAATAGGTCTTCAACGAGGATTTTTAAAAAATAGGTTTTCAAGGACCTTTGGCCAATAAACGTGGGGTTTCAAAAAAATGGGGTTTCAAGGACCTTTTTTAATAATCGTGGATTTTTAAAAAATAGGTTTTCAAGGACCTTTGGCCAATAAACGTGAATTTTAAAAAATGGGGTTTCAAGGACCTTTTTTCAATAAACGTGGATTTTTAAAAAATAGGTTTTCAAGGACCTTTATTCAATAAAAGGGGGTTTTTTAAAAATAGGTTTTCAAGGACCTTTGGCCAATAAACGTGGATTTTTAAAAAAATAGGTATTCAAGGACCTTTGGTCAATAAACGTGGATTTTTAAAAAATAGGTTTTCAATAACCTTTGGAGAATAAACGTGAATTTTTAAAAAATAGGTTTTCAATGACCTTTGGGGAATAATCGTGAATTTTTAAAAAATAGGTTTCCAAGGACCTTTTATCAATAACGCGGATTTTAAATCATATTTAGGTATCTCTTATCTCGTAATGAAATCTTATAAAATAATTGGGAATGTATACTATTTTTCCATTGATTAATAATCCGATACACATAGACCCATACTGACCTATTTAAGCTATATAATTGTTATATTTTCAGTTGTTACCATCTGAATCAAGTCGCGAGGTGATTGAATCTATAAAATGTGTTCTAGACAATTTCGTCGACTTTGTTCAAAACATTTAAATTCAATTCGAACAAATTCTGCGAATTGTCAATAAAGAGTATGTATGTTTGCACAAGTGTTTTTATTTCAAATGATAATAAAAAATCGTCTTCTATAAAAACAAATTGAAACATTTGGAATGCTGGTTATTTTTATAACCAGCTGAAACATTAACAATGTTTTTGAAAAGTGTTAGCATTGTTATATCTTTGGCTGTACTGTCTATGAGTTCAGTAATTTCCTCCAACGCAAATGGTGATGGCTTAACTCGTATTGTGGGTGGTATGATCACCACAATTGATCAAATGCCATATTTGGTGCAATTCCGCCATGCCAACTATTGGAATTTATTTTGTGGAGGAACTTTAATACATCCCGAATATGTTGTAACGGCGGCCCATTGTTTTCTCCATGGAAAGGGGGATGGTATTGTGGTAATAGGAGGTGTTAGCACAGTAGATGGTGAGGGGGAGGAACGATATATTGAAAAGATAATTGTACACCCTGAATATGACCCCCAAACAATGCATTCTGATGTTGCCGTTATCAAACTGGATGAACCAATGAGGGGTTTGAATATTCGACCAATTGCAATTTGTTCTCACCGACTGCGGGAAGGTGATCCATTGCAAGTTTCTGGTTGGGGCCAAACCCACGATAATGGCGAAATGTCGGAGGAATTGCGAACGGTGTCAATGCCCGTATCCCCATGGGCCATGTGCGAGAAGGAGTACGGTTTGTTTGTGGAGAAAAACATGTTTTGTGGTTCGGGATTTGAAGCCAAGGGCCATTGTCTTGGAGACTCTGGTGGCCCTGCAATACATTTGGGAGAATTGTGTGGCGTTATTTCATTTGCTTACAAATGTGGAGAAGTTGGAAGGACATCGGCTTTCACCGATGTTTTTAGTGTAAGAGATTTCATTGATGGAGCTATGAAGAAATGAAATAATAGTTAAAATTAATATAAAACTAAAACTTTAAATCGTATTTTGAATGTCCTTGATCCAATGAAGAAAATAAAAATTAAGAATGCTGTCTTGTAGGAATAGAAGATTTAAAGGTCTTCCTCCAGACAAAGAAGGCCAGAAGTTCTTTTCTAGGCATGGAAGTTCGGAGGGTTTTTTTCTAGCTACAAAAGACCAGAGGGTCTTCTTCTTTCCATAGATGACCAAAAGATCGCGTATAACCCAGATGCTCTTAAAAAATATATATATTCTTGATAAAATTCTTTAAGAATCTACACTTATAGGCCTGAAGGTCCTTGAAAAAATATAGATAAATCAAAGCTTATGATCAAGATTGTTCTTAAAAAAATATTCTTTAAAAATCCTGGAGGAAAATATCCCCAAAAAATAAACGTCTATAGCAGTGACGGTTCTTGGAAAAATATTCTTTAAAAATCCTAGAAAAAAATAAGCTTAATAAGATCAGAAGTTTTTTTTCTAGACATGGAAGTTCGGAGGGTTTTTTTCTAGCTACAAAAGACCAGAGGGTCTTCTTTCCATAGATGACCAAAAGATCGCGTACAACCCAGATGCTCCAAAAAATATATATTTATTCTTGAGAAAATTCTTTATAAATCTACACTTATAAGGTCCTTGACAAAAGTATAGATAAATCAAAGCTTATGATCAAGGTTGTTCTTAAAAAAATATTCTTTAAAAATCCTATATTCTTTAAAAAATAAACGTCTATAGCTGTGACGGTTCTTGGAAAAATATTCTTTAAAAATCCTAGAGAAAAACATACTTAATAATCCACGCTTATAACCCAGATAATCCTGGATGCTCGCCTTATAACCTAGATATATCATGAAAAAATGTTCTTGAAATTCTGGTTTTATTGGCTGGAAGGTCCTTGAAAAAATATTCTTTGAAATTCAGGTTTTATTGGCTGGAAGGTCCTTGCAAAAATGTTATTTAAAAATCCTCGCTTATTGTTGCGATGGTCCTTGAAAAAACATTCAATAAAAATCCGGGTTTGTTGGCCAAAAAGTCATTGAAAAAATATTTTTAAAAAGGCCACGCCTATAGCTCTTAAGATCTTTGAAAAATTATTCTTAAAAAAATGCACGCCTATAGCTCCAAAGGTTCTTGGAAAAATATTCTTTAAAAATCTACGCCTATAGCTCTAAATGTCCTTGAAAAATATTCTTTAAAAATCCACACCTATAGCTCTGATGGTCATATGAAAAACAAGTAAGCAAAGGCTACAGTCGAGCGGGGCCGACCGTTGAATACCCTACAACACTATAATGAACGATACATTTTATATAGGCGAGATACTCGAAAGAATTCCACAAGATATTGTGACAAATAATAAAAGAAAACCATCAGGTTTCGTTCTTTAATTTTCGAATAATAGCAACTTAAACTAATTTGCTCATTTTCAATTTATTGGTAGATGTTGCACGTAAATGGTCTTCCTAGATCTGGAACCAATATTTCCCAAAGACCTATAATCCCTCAGAAGTGGCAAAAGATTAACATTTATTATTGGTTTTTGACTGAAACGCATCTATATGAGATACAGACATTTGACTATATTCTTCAACGAAATCAGCGTTAACGAAATAGTCAGAAGTGCGTCCTTCCTGCATTTGTGAATTCTCCAAAAAGTCACTAGAATGGACATTTTCGTATTTTGTCTACAAAAGTTGGCAAACTCCTTCACACATTGAATATTTTTGGATGGAAAACTGCTTGGCTTTTGCAATGTCCGGTAACCCCCATTCAAATGTGCGTGAGGATCGGGCGATAATTACGACCTGCTGACAATTTTGCAGTTTTTTGGTCCATTTCAACCCCTAAATATATGGCGATCATCTCCAAAAAGAGTAGGCTTCTATTCCGACCCTCATCTTATCCCCATGCAAAATTTCGTAAGGATCGGGCCATAAATGAGATCTGTATATGATATCCTGATATCCTAACTACTTAGTTTTGTTAGCTGTAGAAATATTACCAAATGTTTAATTCAAAATGAAAATATGCCAAAAATATGACAAAATTGAAAAAATATGAGAAAATGTTACAAAATCAATATTTTCAGCTTTAGAGAGATGTTTTTATGCGATTTTTTAGACGTTTTTTCTTTCCTGCCAAGAGACCATTCTGAATTAATGAGAACTGTCGAAATCAGTTCAGCCGTTCTCGACATATAAGAGATTTTTCAAGCATATCTTCTTTGATAAACATATATATCGCACATATTTTGCTATATATCCGATTTGTTAGATGTTAACATCAATGTAAAGATCAGAAGTAACCTTGTCATGGCTTTGTGATTTCGCCGGGATTTAAAATATTCGCGGTTTAATGAAAAATTTTGAATTTTTTCAACACAAAAGGTATGGTCTATTTTACCCGCTAAATATTATCCGATGACCACCCAAATTGGTAGGCTTCTTCCCCGTCCTAAACTCTAGCTACATGCGAAATTCCGCGTCGATTGGTCTATAATTGCGACCTGTATAGCTACTGCAAAATCCGACATTTTTTCAGTATTTTGTCCATTTCAACCCCTAAACATTTGGCGATCATCTCAAAAAGAAATAGGGTTCTATTCTGGCCCAACCCCGACCTCCATTCCAAATGTCGTGAAGATCGGGCCATAATTGCGACCTGTAGAGTGATTACAAATTAACATGGACAGACGGACAGACGGACGGACGGACATACATAGCTAGATCGACTCAGCTCGGCGAGCTAGGATGATCCATATATACTTTCCTATGTGGGAAACCAATATTTCGTGGTGTTACATAATTTTTGGCCCAATCAAACTTATAATACCCCCAACACATAGTGTTGTAGGGTATAAAATCTGAAGGTCCTGGGAAAAATATTTTTTAAAAATTCACGTTTATTGGCCTGAAGGCCTGAAGTCCTGAGAAATATATTTTTTTTAAAAATTCACGTTTTTTGGCCCGAAGGTCCTGGAAAAAATGTTTTTTAAAAAAGTCCTGAGAAATATATTTTTTTAAAAATCCACGTTTTTTGGCCCAAAGGTCCTGGAAAAAATATTTTTTAAAAAAGTCCTGAGAAATATATTTTTTTAAAAATCCACGTTTTTTGGCCCAAAGGTCCTGGAAAAAATATTTTTTAAAAAAGTCCTGAGAAATATATTTTTTTAAAAATCCACGTTTTTTGGCCCGAAGGTCCTGGAAAAAATATTTTTTAAAAAAGTCCTGAGAAATATATTTTTTAAAAATCCACGTTTTTTGGCCCGTAGGTCTTGGGAAAAATATTTTTTAAAAAAGTCCTGAGAAATATATTTTTTAAAACTCCACGTTTATTGGCCCGAAGGTCCTGGGAAAAATATTTTTTAAAAAAGTCCTGAAAAATATATTTTCTAACAATCCACGTTTATTGGCCCGAAGGTCCTGAGAAAAATATTTTTTTTAAAAAAGGTCCTGCGAAATATATTTTTTTTAAAAACCGCGTTTATTGGCTTGAAGGTCCTGGGAAAAATATTTTTTAAAAACGGTCCTGAGAAATATAATTTTTAAAAATCCACGTTTATTGGCCCGAAGGTCCTGGAAAAAATATTTTTTAAAAAAGGTCCTGAGAAATATATTTTTTTAAAAACCGCGTTCATTGGCCCGAAGATCCTGGGAAAAATATTTTTTAAAAAAGGTCCTGAGAAATATGTTTTTTAAAAATCCACGTTTATTGGCCCGAAGGTCCTTGAAAAATATGTTTTAAGAATTTATGTTTATTGGACCGAAAGTCCTGGGAAAAATATTTTTTAAAAATACACGTTTATTGAACCGAAGGTCCTGGGAAAAATATATTTTTTTAAAATTCATGTTCATTGGTCTAATGGTCTTTAAAATTCGTTAAATATACGTGTCTGATGGTCGTTAAAAAAATATTCTTCAAAAATCCACTTTTATGGGTCTAATGGTCGTTAAAAAAATATTCTTCAAAAACCCACGTTTATGGGTCTGATGGTCGTTAAAAAAATATTCTTCAAAAACCCACGTTTATGGGTCTGATGGTCGTTAAAAAAATATTCTTCAAAAATCCATGTTTATGGGTCTGATGGTCGTTAAAAAAATATTCTTTAAAAATCCATATTTATGGGTCTGATGGTCGTTAAAAAAATATTTTTCAAAAATCCATGCTTCTTTAAAAAACCACGCTTACTGGCCAGAAGGTCCTTGAAAAAATATTCTTTAAAAATCCACACTTATTGACCAGAAGGACCTTGAAAAATATTTTTAAAAATTCCACGCTTGTTGCTCTAAAGGTCCTTGAAAAAATATTCTTTAAAAATCCACGCTTATTGACCAGAAGGTCCTTGAAAAATATTCTTAAAAATTCCACGCTTGTTGCTCTAAAGGTCCTTGAAAAAAATATTCTTTAAAATCCATGATAGTTGCTCTCAATGTCCTTGAAAATATATTCTTTAACGTACTCCCTTATGGTTTTTAAAAAAATTGTTTTGGAATTCTTAAAATTAATTTCAATTATTTTTAGAAAAATATATATTTTTTTTGATTTTTTATTAAATCACTTTTTAATAATCATAATCGTAATCATCATAATCATATTCATCAACTTGATCCAACTCCTCGATAGCTTTCTCAATAAAATCACGAACTCTGAAGACGTGTGTCAGTGCATTAGGTTGGCCGCCATGATTACACCAATGGCCAAAGGCATTGATGCCGCAAAACTCTCCTCTATACACCGCTGGACTTCCGGAATCTCCAACACAATGACCCTTGACCTCTTTGCCGAAAACACAAAACATGCTGTCGTGTTCGACATAACGCTTATAATATTGCTTACACATTGCATCGGGAGCATAGCGAGCTGAAATCGTTCGCAATTGTTTACTCAGCGGTGTTTGTTTATTCGCCTGATTCCATCCGGTGATTTGAAGGAAAATTCCCCTCCTTAAATCACTCGAACACATTTCAATTGTGCTAACTCCCTCACCCTCCATGGGTTTGTCCAACTTGACAACAGCCACATCTGAGTGCATGGTACGAGCACCATATTGATCGTGAATCTTTATTCCCGAAATGGTTCGCTTGATGCCTTTACCAGTTTTATCCGAGGCGCCACCAACCACCGTTATATGGCGGCCATCTTCGTTGGGGAAACAATGCGCCGCTGTAACCACATATTGTGGTCGAATTAGGGTTCCAACACACACAACATTGCTTTTCTTATCCAAAAATTGCACTAAGTAGGGTGTCTTTTCAATTGGATCAGCTTTGGCGTTTGAGGTGAATATTGTCAAAAGACAGATGGCCGTAATGGTCTTTAGAGCCAACATCACGTTGGTCGTAGTCTTTAATTTGAAATAAACTGTTTGTCTTGTTTAAAGTTTTCTTTTATACAAAACCATTGCATTTGTATATTGGGTTGGGTCGTAAAATTATGGGTGCATTAGTAAAACTAGAAATTGAAATGAGTAGAGACCATTTATTGAAAATGAGGCAACTTATTCTAGGATCAAGTGCCTCAGCGGCCATTATTTAACGAATGTAGATGTGCTCATTACCGAGATATTCTAAAAAGGCAGAAATATTTTTTTTCATTTTTTACTTTCAAACCATAAACTGAGTTCATAATTTTTGAGGCAAACAAATACCCATCTTTATATCTAAATTAATGTGCGTAGTTTGAAGTGGTAAACATTATTTTGAAACTCAGACAGCTGTTTAAATATTTCGAATAATTGATGCAAAATATCCACAAAAATGCAACTGTTGTTATTCAATTTTGTCATTCAAATAGTGAACAAAATAATTGTTCTTGACATGAAATACATTGCTTTGAAAATTTTTTGAAAACTTTTAAAAGGCCTTTTCAAAATATTCTGAATTTTCACCGTTAAATTGAAAAATACGATACGCTTACAGCTCTGATAATTCTTAAAATATTTTTCTTTAAAATCCACGCATATAGCTCTGATGGTCCTTTAAATATTTTACCTTAAAAATCCACGCTTATAGCCCTGATAGTCCTTTAAATATTTTTCTTTAAAAATCCGCGCTTACAGCTCTGATAGTTCTTTAAATATTTTCCTCTAAAAATCCGCGCTTACAGCTCTGATAGTTCTTTAAATATTTTTCTCTAAAAATCCGCGCTTACAGCTTTGGTAGTTCTTTAAAAGTTTTTCTTTAAAAATCCAAGCTTTTAGCTTCGATAGTCCTCTAATTAATTTTCTTTAAAAAACCACGCTTATAGCTCCGATAGTCCTCTAATTAATTTTCTTTAAAAATCCACGCTTATAGCTCGGATAGTCCTCTAATTAATTTTCTTTAAAAAACCACGCTTATAGCTCCGATAGTCCTCTAATTAATTTTCTTTAAAAATCCACGCTTATAGCTCGGATAGTCCTCTAATTAATTTTCTTTAAAAAACCACGCTTATAGCTCCGATAGTCCTCTAATTAATTTTCTTTAAAAATCCACGCTTATAGCTCCGATAGTCCTCTAATTAATTTTCGTTAAAAATCGACGCTTATGCGCTGATAGTCCTTTAAATATTTTTCTTAAAAAATCCACTCTTATGGCTCTGATAGTCCTTTAAATATTTTTCTTAAAAAATCCACGCTTATGGCTCTGATAGTCCTTTAAATATTTTTCTTAAAAAATCCACGCTTACGGCTCTGATAGTCCTTTAAATATTTTTCTTAAAAAAATCCACGCTTACGGCTCTGATAGTCCTTTAAATATTTTTCTTTAAAAATCCACGCTTATAGCTCCGATGGTCCTTTAAAAATATTTTTCTTTAAAAATCCACGCTTAAAGCTCTGATGGTCCTTTAAAAATATTTTTCTTTAAAAATCCACGCTTAAAGCTCTGATAGTCCCTTAAATATTTTTTAAAAATCCACGCTTATAGCTCTGATAGTCCTTTAAATATTTTTCTTAAAAAATCCACGCTTACGACTCTGATAGTCCTTTAAATATTTTTCTTTAAAAATCCACGCTTATAGCTCTGATGGTCCTTTAAAAATATTTTTCTTTAAAAATCCACGCTTAAAGCTCTGATGGTCCTTTAAAAATATTTTTCTTTAAAAATCCACGCTTAAAGCTCTGGTAGTCCTTTAAATATTTTTTAAAAATCCACGCTTATAGCTCTGATAGTCCTTTAAATATTTTTTAAAAATCCACGCTTATAGCTCTGATAGTCCTTTAAATATTTTTCTTTAAAAATCCACGCTTATAGCTCTGATAGTCCTCTAAATATTTTTCTTTAAAAATCCACGCTTATAGCTCTGATAGTCCTTTAAATATTTTTCTTTAAAAATCCACGCTTATAGCTCTGAAAGTCCTTTAAACATTTTTCTTTAAAAATCCACGCTTATAGCTCTGATAGTCCTCTAAATATTTTTCTTTAAAAATCCACGCTTATAGCTCTGATAGTCCTTTAAATATTTTTCTTTAAAAATCCGCGTTTATAGCTCCGATAGTCCTTAAAAATAAACTCTAATACTTCTGATGGTCCTTGAAAAAAATCCGGAGGTATTTTAAGGCAGTGTCTGATATCCTGTTCTGAATATCATTGTCATCCGAATACCTGAAAAATCCAAAGTTTGATAAGAATATAAAGATGTACCATGTTTGGACAAAATCCCCTGCGAAAGTTCTCGTGAGCACGACATGCAGGTCGTGTTTGGAATAGATTTCGTCGGAAGAAACCTAGGGTCTTGAACTCTTATTTCGGTGAGGATTGTTAGTCAGATGTTTTTTGAGGAAAGGCTCTTTAAACAATGCACCTTTTTTGCTTAAAAAGATATTTTCTTAAAAAAACGAGATTTTTCGTCAAGGGATCTCCGAGAAAGTTATTTAATTTAAAATATCCTTAATTTTTTTGAAAAAAAAAATGGTATTGAAAATGGAGGTGCGGTTAGGGTCAGAATAAAACCCTATTGTGTCTGGAGATGATTGCAAAATACAGGGTGAGATGAAAAACTTCAACCAACTTCAGACTGCTGGCATTTCTAAGCCACTCGTCCGACAGCTGTATGGTATAAAAATCTGCATTTGTAAATTAAGTGATTTGCAATTTTTGCTAATATTAAATATATAAAGATTTATGTAAATCAAATTGATTTACTTCGAAATTATACGACACCTTAAGCAATGTAGCCAAATAAAATTGAAAAACCAAAATCATAAAAAAATCCCAGAATTAATATGGTTACAATTATCTTCCCTTTAACATTATTCACTTAAAATCTTTTGTGGAATACAACGAGGAGGAAACAGGTTCCTTATTTTATTTTTGTGGGAGGAATGATTAACACTCACCCACACACATGCATGCATGTATTTAATACACTCCTGCTTAACACAACGATATAATGATATTAAATTGAAATAAATGATTTCCGTTGGAATACGACAAGAATACTTGACAAAAAAGACAGAAAGGCGGGTGTGTGCACCCACACACACACAGCTGCACACACAAAAGGATAATATCTATGTGTCTATTAGTCTGTGACTCTGTCTGTTCTTTCGGTGAGAATCAGGCATGAAAATGCGTGTAATACGAACATTTAACGTATGCTCAACAATTTCGTCTGCATAATTTTATAATAAAAAATTCCGCATTTAATCAATGTCTTTATGTGAAGACTACAAGGATGCTGGTGGGTGAGAATATGAGAGAGAAAGAGAGAAAGCGAATATATTTAATGACTTCTTATGCATATGTATGAGTATGGGGAAGTACATTTCAGTTGTGAAACTAAAGATTTTTTAAATAAATAAATGAGGACCATCAACTTTAATTTTAGATTTTATAAGGATATCTTTTCAAGGATCTTTAGATCTAAAATAGTTGATTTCTAAATAATAACAATCCAATCCAAAAATTAAAATAAAAAAACATATTTTTGGATGGACCATCAGAGTCAATTTTAAAGACTATTTTTTCAAGGACCTTCAAGCAATTAACGTATTTTTTAAGGAATATTTTTGTAGGACCTTAAGGCCAATAAAAAGAGATTTTCAAAGAATATTTTTTCAAGGACCTTTTTCCAAAAATAAATGGATTTAATGGAAAAATAAACGGGGATTTTTCAATGAAAAACATTTTTAAGGACCTTTCGGCCAATAAACGTGGGTTGCTAATACATTTTTTTTCAAAGACCTTTGGTTAAAAAGTCAATCTTGGAATTTTAAAGAATATTTTTCCAAGGACCTTCTGGCCAATAAGCATGGATTTTTAAATAATATTTTTCAAAGGACCTTCTGGCCAATAATCGTGGATACTTAAATAATATTTTTTCAAGGAACTTCTGGCCAATTAGAATATTTTTTTTTGGATTTTTTAAGAATATTTTTCCAAAGACCTTCTGGCCTATAAGCGTGGATTTTTAAGAAATATTTTTCCGATGACTTTCTGGCCAATAAACGTGGTTTTTGAAGAAATATTTGTTCCAAGGACCTTCAGCCCAAATAAGCATGGATTTTTTAAGGAATAATTTTCCAAGGACCTTCTGGCCAATAAGCGTGGATTTTTGAGGAATATTTTTCCAAGGACCTTTGGCCAATAAAAATTTGAGTTTTTAAAGAATATTTGTTCCAAGGACCTTCTGGCCAATAAGCGTGGATTTTTAAACAATATTTTTCCAAGGACCTTCTGGCCAATAAGCGTGGATTTTTAAAGAACATTTTTCCAAGGACCTTCTGGCCAATAAGCGTGGATTTTTAAAGAATATTTTTCCAAGGACCTTCTGGCCAATAAGCGTGGATTTTTAAAGAATATTTTTCCAAGGACCTTCTGGCCAATAAGCGTGGATTTTTAAAGAATATTTTTCCAAGGACTTTCTGGCCAAAAAGCGTGGATTTTTTAAGAATATTTTTTCTAGGACTCCTGGACAATAAGCTTGGATTTTTAAAGAAATTTTTTTAAAGAACCTTCTGGCCAATAAGCGTGGATTTTTAAAGAATTTTTTTTTTCAAGGACATTCGGCCAATATGCGTGGTTATTTACGAAATATTTTTCCAAGGACCTTCTGGCCAAAAATCGTAGATTTTTAAAGAAAAATTTTCCAAGGACCTTTTGGCCAATAAGCGTGGTTTTTAAGAAATATTTGTTCCAAGGACCTTCTGGCCAATAAGCGTGGATTTTTAAACAATATTTTTCTAAGGACCTTCTGGCCAATAAGCGTGGATTTTTAAAGAATTTTTTTTTTCAAGGACATTCGGCCAATATGCGTGGTTATTTACGAAATATTTTTCCAAGGACCTTATGGCCAAAAATCGTAGATTTTTAAAGAAAAATTTTCCAAGGACCTTTTGGCCAATAAGCG